TAAATAAGTATAATTTAAATTTATAAATGCATCAGTATCATATTAAACAAGTACACATCGAAAATTTAAATTATATACATAGTTTATCATTAATATTAACAAAACAAGTGAAACGCATCAATAACTTTATACTTGCAAATAAATTAAAGTTAAATAAACACAAGCTGATTACTAATTTCACTTGAAGTTGTGAGAATAAATGGATTAGTCATTATTTGTAGTATAAAATCCAACTATAGTTGTCTTCCGTATGGTGTGGGAGAATATAGAAAATAAGTATTATGAAATAAATACTTAAATATGTTAATTGAGTTGATAAAAAACTTTATAAGTCGGAATAAAAAAAATGTCATGAGCATTACTTTTACTACATATATACATATACACTTATATGTAAACATTTTATTTCATTTTAGAATTAATTACATTAGTAACTACCATATATGTGCGGGTAATTATCAAAGTTCGTGGTAGTTAGTACGGTTTCAGTTATGTCCCACAAAAATGGTGTGGGTGCGGCTAGAGAAAGCGTAGTGAGGAGTCAACAAAAATATTGTGCGAGGCTGTGAGGTGTATCTAAGGGGGTTTCTAGAGGATTAAAGGGGCTGGGACAAAAAGTAAACCAAGTTGAAAAAAAACAAAATGACAGAAGCTTACCTTATTCCGTGGGGGAGCACGAGGGATGCGGTGTGGGACCAACTCTGGCCTTTAGGGAGTTGTGAGGGGTTTGTGTAGAATGCAACGCACAAAAAACTACGTTAAATAGAAAATATATAATTATGTACTAGTAGGGCCTTGCTTCCTCTTGCGCCTCTCGTGCTCACCCCACTTTTTAAATTTAGTTGAATACTTAGTTTTTCAGTATGTTCTTAAAAGTTTAAAAAAATTACTTTTAGTACAGAAACTTTATTGTAAGTTGTGCATGGTTCAAGTTGAAGACAGAAGTGTTAACTTTTTAGAAACATTGGATGCATTGTTTGAATATTCTATAAGCTTATTCGTTGTTTTGATTAAGTATAAAAAAATAATGTCATGTTCTTGTACATATTCTGTAAAGCAGTTAATAAACTTCTCGACTGTTGAAGAAAAAAAAACTAGCGTGTTATAGTTCTACGTTAATTGTCGTGTAGACATGTGTTAAAAAATAATACAGAGAAAATAATTATCTTATTTAATTAGAAATTTATAGCCTAAAGTTAAGCAGAGGAAAGTGGCTGAAGAGGGTTAGATCAAATTTATAACTTAATAGAAATAACATGAAAATTAAAACAATTGAACCTTGTACAAAGAGTGGCTAATGCGCTGCTAAGAAGGGCTAATAGAAGATGCTAATAAATTATGAGAGTGGGTTGGAAGATTGATATGAAATTTTACCGGGGCTGAAGGGGATTTCTGAAAGAGTGTAAGAAAGTTTGTCTCGCGAAAACTGATAAATTTTACCTTACTTAGAGGGGGGTTGAAGGGGTTCCTTATGATTTTGTGGGGTGGCTGATAGGAGATTGAGATGGGGTTTTTCAAAATTGTACAAGAGGTAAAGGGGTCAAACAAAAATTTAACCTTACAAAATATTATGTTAAACTGATAGAATTTAGAAGAATTTATCAGAATTTTATTCATATTTATAGACTCCTTTCAATTGGTCTTCTGTCATCAAATAATATTAAGATTTAAGCTTAGTAATGTGGAGCATGACTATTTATTGATTAGAAGAAAAAAAGAAAAAACGTTATGTTTCTGATATAATTGAATTCTTAAGAACATGACTGTTATTGGAATTAAGTAGAGTTTGGCAATATATGGACGGAATTATAGGTACCGTAGGTGTCCATGATGCGTGTTATCTTAGCACCTACATAGTATAATGTTATTTTATTTATAAATTTTTACGTATAGAAATTTATTGAATGTTTTACTTTTATCCAACTCACACTAAGTTTTACTTTGTTATAAATGTAAATTTTTAATCCTGAAGAGACTGTCAGCAAGATAGCGAAATATTGATTGATGTAAATAGATTTTTAATAAATAGTCATGCTCCACATTACTAAGTTTAAGTCTTAATATTATTCATAGAATTTTATTTTATTAGAAGGGGGATTGAGAAGGAAAAGAAAGTTCTGACGACGGCTCATTCAATTTGTAAGGGGGGCTCAGGAAGGATTGAGAGGGGAATAGAGGAAGGGCAAACAGAGTCTGTACCTGATAAAAATACTAGGATTGAGAGGGGGATAGAGGAAGGGCAAACAGAGTCTTTACCTGATAAAAATACTGTGAAATCTGATTGAGTTTTACCTTATTTAGAAGGAAGACAAGTATAGCCGAGGGGGGTGGAGTGGGAAGTGTGTGGAATGACTTTCATAAATCACTGTATAATATAGGAAGAGATGCAGAGTAATATAAATTTCATAATAATATACATTTTAACTTCGTTATCCGAGTTTAAATTATTCTCACAATTTTAAATGGTATGTATGAACAAAATATTTTCAGAAAAGTTAGTTCTTATATTTGTACCATAAAGTTTAAAAAAAAGGTTGGTCTTATGCTTATAAAATTGTTAAATTAAATCCAAATGATAAATTTTACACTGCTCATGATACAGACAAACATATTTCAGCAGAAATGTTGCAAAACACAGAAATATAAAAATTAATTATTAAATACATGCTACATGGTCCTCATAACTGATGTAGCCATTGTCTTATCAGTAATTAAATTGAATGCACAAAGAAAATTCCCTAAAATGTTTACTTAATATATAGAACAAAGAATAATAATAAAAAAATTTTAGTTGACAATTCTAAGCTAGTACTATCCCATTAATTGTGATTGAAAAAGTAGTAGAAGTTAGTAGAGAAGAATTGTTTGAATTATTAAATACAGTTAATGCTTCAAATTATAACACCTTTGAAGACGCTGCTGTTAGCTTGGGCTCGGTTGAACACGATTCTCAAATTTATAAAATTTTTGAAGAAGTTTGCAACGTTATGCTTCCACACTAGTTAAGGAAGTTTTTTGCTTAGTATTTTATATTTTTCTTAGATTTTACTAATAACGTAAGATAAATGCCCATGTCCAGCGTGTAAGGATATAGATACTCAAGCAGCTGTAATTTTCCACAAATACTAGAACATTGATTTTTTTATTATAATTCGTGTCTAGTGATTAATAGTAATTTGTGATTGACTTGATAGGAACAGACCGGTAGAGTTCATACACATGTTATAAAAGTATTTATAGGAGTTTAATAAGAGAAATATTTTGGTCACATTTAGTTGTATATGGACTTGTCCACTGAAAGCGGGCCACCGTGCGCGTGCGGGACTTTTTTCGCCCAAACAAGCTGTGTTCAGTTCGCTCATAATGGCTGGGAAATAGCTGAAAAAATGATTACAAAATACAAATTGACGGATTTTGATCTTTTTTTTTTTCAATAGTGCTGTTTGTTTTTTCTCAAAACCTTCTTTTCGTGAAAAAAATGAGTCAGAAGCTTATGATGTTTCTCTGAAATTCGCCATGGTTTCAAAACATTAACTCCTCAAACTTTTAGAGAGGAAGAGCCAAAAATGCGTGAATTACAACCAAATAAAGACGCTGGCATGAGCAAGTCGCACGGCAGCGAGGTTTGCAGTTGTCGCCTGTGCTACACTGTCACGCGGCGACACACTGTTACGAACCTGTTTGTTGTGTATTGCTGCCATGCTGCCAGGCAACTTTCTTATGCCGTCGTCTTCATTTGCTTTTAATTTACGTATTTTTTTCCCTCCCACTCTAAAAATTTGTGGAGTTGATGTTTTAACACTGCTCTTTCGATTTCTGCAAATTTTATTTTTTTAAACCATGGTGAATTTTTAAGAAACTTCCTGAAATTCTGACTCGTTTTTCTCCACAACAAAAAGGTTTTAAGAAAAAACAAATCTGACTATCGGAAACATCAGATCAAAATCTGTCGATTTGTAAATTTTTAATTATTTTTTTAGCTATCTCCCAACCATTATTGACGAGTTGAAGACAGTGTGTTCAGGTGAAAAAAGTCCTACGCGCGCAAGGTGGCCCGATCTCAGTGAACAAGCCCATATATGTACCATGCTACTTGACGTGTATACTTTGAAGAAGCTAATAATAATGTAGAACATACAATTTTACTATATGATTTGCTTTCTAGTGATACTGAATCTTACTTGTAGAATATCGGAATCGCACTACTTGATGTGGCCCCTGTAAGCATTGTATATTGTGTTATAAGAAATAAACAATTTGTTAGGTCTTCGATTACACGTATACTTAACAATCTTCTGCCTTTCTTAAATTAAATATAAATGTAACTTTTACTGTTGTTTGTAGGTGTCATTTGTGTAAATATTTTTTTATTTTAGGGACATTAACAAAGTGAGACATGAATTAAAAATAACAGTATAATTTTTCGATTAATTAGTCATGATAACAGTCTTAGTGCACTAAGAATATGACCCCTAGTTATAAGCCATGTATGTAAAAAACCATAGGTTTATTGTTAAGTAGGTAAAAATTATAATTCAGTTGTTGAAATAAGAACCATAAAAAATGGATAGAAAATGGAAAATGGAATTATGTGTATAATATTATGATTTTTTACATCGTATTTTTACAAATCATAAATGTTAATCAAAATTATAACTATTAATTTTTTTTATTTATTTAGGGAACAGTTATTTATTTGTCTCAACGAGTATATTTACTATGATGAAATAGCAAGTTGTCTTAATCGGCTGCTTCATGAATGTCACGATTATATTGCAATCTTAAAACAAACAAAAATTTTATTTAATTCAGAAATTAACACAGATACAGTAATGAACCTTGATCAAATAGTTCAATTAGCTTCCACGCCAGTTTCAAGTTTGCAAACAGTGGATTTTGATGGCTCTGGTAATGCATCTACAAACACTACTGCAGTTGAATCTAAACTTTTGGAAAATTTGGAAGAACGACGACATTCTTTAGAGGTGGAAGCTTTAAATAAGGCATCTCAACAACAAACCTTACACATTACAGTAACTGCAGCTTTAGCAGGTGCAGCTACCATGTTACATTGCTTACCTAAGCCACCTCAAACTTTAAATCCACTTATCAAGCCCTTAATGGAATCCATTAAAAGAGAAAAGGATGGTGAATTACAGAAACTTTCTGCAAAACATCTTGCACACTTGGTTTATTTATGTGTTACTAGAAATCCGTGTCCTAATTCAAAGGTATGTACAACCGCTTATTGAGTATTCTTATTTTTACGCTTTGAAAGCATATTATTTATTTAAAAAAGGCATCTCATCTAAGATTTTTTTCATTGAAACATAAAATTTTCTCTTTAACGATGAGTCTTACATGTTTCTAAATTATAATGTAAAAATGTAAATGATTCATCTTTTTCCTAAAGTATCTTAATAACGTTAAAAGTATGTTGTTGTTTGCATTACTAAGTGATTAAAAAAAAAATTCCTTACATCTAAGATGTTATTTACAACCTCCTGATGTTCAGATTTAAATGTATACTGTTCTCTTGTTACAAACTACAAGAAGAGAAAGAGAAGAGTGCACTGCCACCCTGCCTTCTTAGTGTAGGTTCTGGAGGTATAAGGTGTCATAAAAATTGTTACACTGAACACATATGCATAAAAACTGAATAAACAAAATGTGAAGACTAAACTACTCTTTTAGTGATAACAATCTATCAAGATCGTTACAAAGTATCATAACAAAATTCAAGTGCCATAGTGCCACAAATGATCAAAGATATGATGATTTAATACTTATTTAATACTTTCTTGTATAATCATGCTTCTATTACTAGTTATTAGGACTGTAAGAATCTGTGTAAAATCTCCTGCTAAAACAATTAATTTATTACCAAAATGGATATTTGTATTACACAAATTAAAATAAGATTTAAGTGCCATAGTAAGCAGAGTTCGCGTATCTAGATTACAAAAACAACTTTTACATTTGAACGATTGTCATGGTACTTGAAAAATTTAAAGTATTCGTACATCGTATGTACAACCTCGTGATATTATATACACAACTCTTCAAGGTACCCATAGAAAAGGAACTTTTAATAATTCTTAACGGCAAAATCATCTACCTAGATACTTGGAGCTCATCAGAAACGATCATGAAGATGGCTGATGCATATAAAATATTAAACACTACAACTTTTTTTATTGTAGCTTACAGGCGTACAATAGACTTCATTAAATGTGTTTTGCGTGAAATACAAATGCTTGTAATTATATTATTGACATAAACAATGACAAAGCAAAGTCTTTAGTCTCTAGTTTTAAAATTTTACTTCTCTTTTGGTTTGAAATATTTATAATTATTCATTACTAGAATTAGAATTTATTTATAAACAACTTCGTGGACGTACTTTCTAAGCCTTTGTTGTCTTAGAGACGCTTTGTTTCGGGAGTCCCCCTCATTTTTCGCGGTTCAAGGCACCCTTTTCGTGTGTTCATCTTGCCTTTTGGTATTACTTATCACGACAATCAATAAGTCATACAAAGCAATGTAAATAAAGAAAAAATATCTTTCATCACAGCTCGCTTATAGTTTCTTATTTGCTAGTTCTCGAAAAAAAAAAAAAATTGGCTGGATGCACATCAATTTGATAACATTTTGTTGTATAACATAACATCATTTCTTCAGCTTGGTTGGTTACCTTGCATCAGTTATACCGTAGTTAGCAGAGCAAATATTCGTATAGCTTAATCAATACAATGACTCAACAGTATGGACACGGAGGTGGAAGTACAAAATATGTGAAACCATGGTGCACGAGTAGGTAAGGCTTGGATGTTCGGACTCTGTAAAGGTAATGACTGCTGGTATTATGTTGTTAAATGATGCGAAAAGTAATTTATGTTGAGCATAACACTGATGCCCAGTATCAAAGCATCGGGAAATTCTGGTTGGATGCAAAAATGAATACTATCAAAAAAGGGGTAGTTACTCTGTCAATGTTGCAGTCACATTTGGACTGACACTGCTGGAAAATAAGGGAAGTACGCGACTCTTATTTATTGATAGAATAGTTTACTGATATAAAAAATAATATATTTGTCAATTGTAAGTGAGGAAATAAAGTTTGTATGGACAGATTTTGCAAGATTCACGATAAAATCATCATACGGTGGATTTTTTTCACAAACTATAATTTTGGAATTCAATTGAGTGGACCTCCTCGTGGAGTTCTTGGTAACACTAGTTGGCTCACTTATAATTTGTTATAATTTAACATTACAGTATCAAATACTTGTGTGGTGAAGCTCATACTGATGTGTCAAGACCCTACTACTGTTATAAAGGTACTATATTGGATAAAACGAGGGAAATGAACGAAAATAATAAGGAGGGCCAACAAGAGATAGATAATTCTATATTAAATGCCTGCAAAACTGTATATATATAAGGTGTAATAAAAGGATCGCACACATACGAATGTTTGCATGGAAAAGTATTATTTTTAATTTCCTAATTTTGAAAAAATTGAGTTGTTTATTTTGCTAAGATATTGAATATCTTCACGATTATTAATAGTATTATTAGTTAAGTTAATATGAATCATTTCTGAAAAAATGCATTTTTTATAAACTGCTTCTTTGTCAAGAATCTTAACATCTTTCCAATCAAATGCATGCTTATAAAATTGCATGTGATTAGTAATTACAGATTCAAAGTCATATCCGCGTTTGTGTTCGTTTATTCTTTCTTGTAACTCTCTCTTTGTCTCTCCTACATATTCCGCAGAACCGTTGTTGCAACTTAGTTGGTATACAACACTTGTGTTTCTGAGAGTCAGTGTTAAATACTTACCTNCATACCGAGGTGAGCCTTTCAAAATATTGCTTAGAAATTTAATTTGGAATTTTTGTAAATATTACTATCACATTTATCAACATTTTTTTTTACATAATAAAAAGTTTTATTATTCAAAAAGTAAGTATATTTTTTTTGAGATGTCTTACTAATAAATGTTGAACACAAAAGTTGTAGTAACAAATTTATTAAAATTTTTAATACTTTTGAAATTGTTATAGATTTATTATTGTTATTATTGTTATAATTTTTAAGTTCTAAGTATCGCGATTTTATTAACTTTTCATAAAATTGTGCGGGGTGATCATTCTTACGTAGTAGACTTTTTACAATGTTTAAGTTGAAAGCGTGAAACCTTCGATGAGACAAGAGAATGGCTCTTTCTACTAAGTTATAAACCATATTCTTCTTAAGGATATCAAATAATTAGATTTTAAGTTCAAGAAACGACCCGAGGATGACGGCTTAGAGAACCAGTTTGTAATGATTCTATTATTTTCTATTATTAATGTTTTATCTAAAAAGTTAATATTATTTATAGAAAGTTCATGTGCGACATTTAAATATTGATTATGATTATTGGAAACTTGTAAGACTGCATCTATTTGATCGGATTTTAAACACATTATAGTATCATCTACATATCTTAAGTAAAAGAGAGGTTCAATATTGAATTTATACTTTAAAATATCCAACCAATTTACCTCAAGGCCATCCATGACCATGTCAGTAAACCAAGGGAGACACAGGAGAACCCATAGGTGTGCCAAATGTTTGCTGACAAAACTTATTATCAAAAGAAAAAAATGTATCGTTAAAAAAAAATTTTACACAGTCTCTTATGTCATCAAGAGGGATATTACATCGCTGTCGCAGTCTTACTGTACGTTTGTCTAAGCTATTTAAAACTTGGTCACATGCGACACAAGTGAACAGGGACGTAACGTCAACAGAAATTAGTGTGTAGTTATCTGGAATTTCAACATTTTCAATAAAATGAATAAATTGGAGACCATTGTTAACGTGTGATTTTGGAGCCCAAATATTGTCTTTTAACTCTTGGTAGATGATTTTAGATAGTAAATGTGTAGGGCTTTTGATAGTAGAAATATTTTCTTTCAGAAAGTCGACATTTCAAAAGACAAATGTGTTTATAACTTTTTAAATAACATTTCACCCATGCTGGCATTCATACATGCAAATAAAAAGCTATCCTCAGATTCTAAGTGCCTGTGTCGTGCTGGGCCGATATAAAAAGAATTTTTTTACAGGAAATCGATATTTTGCCTATTTAACTTATTTATTAGCACTTTAATAACTTTCCACCAGTGTTATCAGTAATATGTGCTAGTGATTCAATTATAATTAAAGTATACTCATTGAATTTTCTTACCTTAAAATTTTCCTGGCTCGAGTTATTACTGTTTTTTCTGAAAAGTTAATATTTTCACCTGATTAATTTGCTTACAACTTTTATACGTATAATAGATTCGTATCCAACTTAGTTTATATACATATTATGAACTTAAAATTTCGTTTCTTTGTTGGAACGTGCTATAAAAATATTTTTTCTGTAAACTTATTGGGCTCTTTGTCATCACTTATTCGCCGTGACCAGCTGCTACTTCTAGCTGCTAGTTTAAGATTTATTCATTGACAGTGAAGATTTGTTGAAATATCTCTCTATACGACACTGTCAAACCAACGACCCCCTCCCCCCCCCAAATTTACCAACACACAATTTTTCTTATTCCTTCATTGACCTATTCCAGATCCATTCTCTTATCAATCCCTTACTTCATTGTTTGAAAGCAGAGAAGTGTTTCCCCCCTAGGTTATTTACAACCTTTTTTGTGAAACATAAATTAATTTAGATTGCTTTTATTATTACCATCTAAAAATTATTTAAAAAAAATTAATTTTACATATTATTTACAATGTACATATAGCACGTTCACACGTTCATACGAAAACAGTCCAGAATTTATAAGAAACATACTTATGATACTGATAAAATATAATAAAAGTAGTTATTAAGAAATTTTATTGACTATTCTTCTACACTACCTTGGAGGCAAATAAACGGACTTTAAACATACAAACATAATAGAAAAAAAGACTTACTATAAGAAGCTCGTTAATTTTTTTTATTATTATTTTTACTAAGTAGTTAAGTTTTTTTTAGATTAAACTTTTGTTGAAACAGTAACGCCTTAGGTCGTATGTGATTATTTAAGGATGAATGAATTGTGTGGGGCAAAATTTTTAAAAAAAAGCACATTTACGATGTTACATAGAAATACATTGCAAAACAAATTTAAAAAGTTAGATAATCGTCCTAAATGTGATAACGAGTTGTCAAGAAAAGATGCGTTGATAA